TGTTTATAGATCATACAGTCCTCTATCCACAAACATTACGAGCTTTGATCGATCAAACATTTTTGTGTTAGAATAACATTTTTTTAGATCACATTAGAACAAGTGGTGCAGATTAAATAACACTCAGTATTTTGTTCATCAAGTTTTTTCTTTCGTTCCCAAGGATCAATCTTTTGTTGCGAAAGATGCGTTCTGAAATTCTCTACAAAAAAACATGTTGAGGGTTTTGCCACAAAATGTAGGAGTAGAGCGTTATACGAATAATAGTGAGAAGATCTAAAATGGGCAAACTGTAATGTACTTTTTAGAATATTCAAGTTTTCTTTAGCAGATGTCAAGATACACAAAGCAAACGTTGTAGCAAAACGTTCAGTATAGTTTTTGTAGAAAATTTCAAGATGTATCTTTTGCAAAAAGATTGACTCTTGGCATTACAAAGTTTTTTGTTTTTTTAAAAAGAATCAGTCCGGGAACTTTTTGAACGCCCTACGTATAAATACTACTGTGTTACATCTTCGAAATATTTCAGAATAGCATATCATCGTCTTAGGTCGCTAATAGCCTAACAGTCTGGTCGAGCCCTGATAGAATTGTATAGCTGATTCAGCTTCTCTGACGGACCTGATCATCGGCTAGTGTGGTTATCATTCGTAAAGTGGAAAATAATAAGGCTCTTACGACTATATACAGGACAGAAAAATTAAACTTATCTAAATTCACAAATTACCGTCGCTTATCCTTCTCCCGATCTGCGCCGAGATACTACCGTAGCTGATACTCTATACAGGAATTCCCCTTTTCTCGATTCTTTTACCGTTTTCTGATGTATTATAAGCAAAGTACGATAACTGGTAAAAGTGAACTGGTTTTGGTTGACAGTCTCTGTAACGTACTTTGTACATTCGTGCAAAAAAGGTCACGTGACTTACTTGGTGGTTATGTCCTTCGACTTGTGTTGTAAAGATAATGTGTTCGAACCTCGAGATGTTTAAGTCACGCAATAATTTTGAACAAATTACTTATGTTTTTATGCCTCGGATCATCCGTTCAATAACACACGTACTACGTTATAGCCGTACATGAAAAATCACGGATGAATATTATTTAATTTGTGTAGATGTATGATCTGCCAGACAAGCATTTTTTTGCTATTTTTTTGCGTTAGCATAGTTCTGCACTCTCATATATTTTTTAGTTTCCTCTTTTATAAATAAAAAGTGATAGCAAGTTTTCAAACCTTTTCGGTTTCAATGCATATATCAGAGACAAAAAGAAAGCGTGAGGAGTAACGCTCGAATCCTATCTAGTTTTATGAGCAACAAGCAGTAGAATGATACATGCACACAACTTCCAAAGTCAACTGTACGGCTTTTTGAACTGTCCCGTTTTATATTTGATATTTATCTTAAAATATGTTATATAGAGCATTGATGAATGCTGTTCCGTTCTTCTCGAGTCTTTTTTTATCATCATGCTGCAGTCCATTCCTCTTCCTCATCAGTATAATGATCAGTCGTTATAAAAGTTAGTTTACTTTACTCCGTGAACTAAACACTAGATATTGAAAATTTCCTATCTTAGACTTCTCAAAGAAGGAAAATATTTCCCAGTATGATAACTCTTCTTAAAAATTTTTACGCAGCTGCGGAAGGCGAAAAATTCTTTTAGAACTTTTCGCCGCCATAGGCGATAAAGTAATCGGCTAACACCTCTAGTCATAGGTAAAATAGACGAAAATCTGTATCGAATAAAGGGAAATCGAGTTCTAGATTGTCTATGATTACTTTGTACAAGTTCTTTCCTTAATGAATGCTATAACTCTTGAGCATCACCGACAATGGAATTAAACGCTTTTCTCAGCTTTTTTCCCTTTTCATAGACGTCTTAAAAAGGGAAATTGGTTGGTTGAAAATGATCTCAATTTTAGATCAGGTATTAGAATAAGAAAAACACTTGTGTTATACAATGAATGATCCTTATTTTTTATATTATGGGATGGCAATGTAAAAGACATTCCCATACCTAAGAATATGATCTTGTTAATGAACTACCCTGGAAACGTATGGGAATAAATTTTTATGTATTTCACAATGAGTTTTCAATCTTAGAGCATATTCAGATGACTGCCATTTTAATTAAATGTAACCTCATTGATTTAGCAAGTTCAGTGATGCGTAATGACAAAGTTATTTCTTATATTACTTGTCACGGTCACTATGTAGTGGATAACGGTTTTTTAAAAGTCATCAAACTATCCACATTAAAATTTTTTGTTTATTTGTATGAGACTTGATTATCAGTTATAGATCTTCGTAGAAATAGAAAGTCTTTCCATGAGACAATATGAATACAATCATCTTTTCTTTTGTTGTTATATGCCTTTTTTTAAACTACGTAGAAAAATGTTATATTCTATGCATGTTCTCTTTTTTCTCCGTGAAGTTTATAGAGAAAGACACCACATCAAACCATCGAGAAACTAAAAAGAGGTAGATATATAATTGTTGAGAACAGAAAAACGTTTTAAAAAAACCATCATCATCAACCAACAACCAACCACTACGTGTATGGATTCGAAATGGTACGGGGGCGGTGAGAGACATATACAGAAAGAAAGAAAAGAAAGGATTCATATTATACACACAGCTATACACATTCATCTAGACGGTTCAAGATTGTGACACGTACGGTACAGAAATTGCCTTCTCATAGCATTTTCTCACAACAAATATAATGATGGCTTTGAATTAGGCCCGCATGAATTGTGTAAGTACTAGATATCATTGAAATGATTCGAGATAGTAATAGATTTTTAGCGTTGTATAAAATTTACATTATTCAATTAGAGTTAGAGTTTGAAGTTTACCGTGAATTTCATTGCATTAATGAACTTTTGTGAAATAACATCAATCATAAATACGCAACGAAGAATAAAAAAGGAAAAATAACTGACATAGTAGACTAGTCTCTGATTGCTGTATGCTGTAATATAAATATCAGACAGCAAATACATGAACATATTCTACATTTATTTTGTCAGTTAATTAACATATTTTAATATTCTAATTCAGTCATAAATATATGAGTCTGTAGAACTATGTCCATCGCAAGTCTACATCCAGCCTTCATACTTTTCAAACAAACTAAAAATTAAGAAAAATAGATTTTTGAACATAACGTATGTTCATATATTTCTTTTAAAATCTCAGTAAATTTTTTGTCTCTCACCATTTAAAGTTGTGCACACATAAAACTCTTAGTGCAATATTCAACATTAGCATTTGTTGATCATGTTGGATGAATAGCGTTGCTGTTATATGTAACTGATCAACACATGAAATAGTTTCTTAAACGATGATGAGAATTTTATTTGTTTATTTTTGATAACTTATTACAATTTATTGGCAAAAACGATGTTTTAACTGTAAAGACGTGATAAGCTCTATGTGAAATGAGTATAGCTTCAATCGTGTACATGTACACCAATAACAAATATAGGTAAAGCATCTAAGGTTTATGTTTTGCGCTGAAGAAGAAGAAAGAAACAAAATATACGAGTATATGATTGTGCAATCTGTTGTTTTGTTTAGTGTTCAGTACTTCTTTAAGATTTTCGCAGATACAGTCGTACAGAATTCAGCAAAATTTTCTTGAACATCTGTAAATTTCATGTGTGTAATAGAAGAACAGAAAATTCAAAAATGTTAGATGCTCGTTTGCCATGAGTGTGATGTGTGTAAGTAAAATAGTGCCAAATACCTCGGTAAACAGTAGAATGCCGGGACGAAAAAAAAGAGAATAGAAAAGGAAGAACGAAATTCTGTTGAAAAGGGGGGTGTAGGTTAACCGTTCTTCTCTTATGCATAGAATAAATGACGCGCTTTTAGTCAGTCACGTTTGATTCAAGTATATATTATATATAATTTTCATATTTTACAGACAAGTTCTCGTTTTTTTGTGTGTTGTTTTTATCTTGTTCGATCGGGAAGGGGGTAGTTTCTTATGTTGTCACGTTAGAAAAGAAAGGATAGCATATTGTATATACTATGTATCTTAGAGATAATATAACAAATAATACCCGATGTCGTCATATCAATTAGCCTTCATCTGTACCAGCTATATCAGCAAACGAACTTATAGATAGATATACAATTTAAATTTTATCACTTTGATTTAACAATGAGAAAGATGGATCTGTTCCTGTTGTTTGCGACTACACGAGTTTTTTTGTGTACAAGTTCAACGAAATACTTTTGTTTGCTTTCTTACCTCACTATGTAAATCGCGATTGATTTACACTTAGTTACTTGAAGAACAGAAATACACAAAATTATTAAAAAAATAATTCATTGCCATTTACATCCTCTGCTTTTTTAAAATCAAGATAAAGATTTTTTTCTTAAGATATCTGAGATTTGTGCTTGTGAAATGGCTTTGAGAACTTTCCATGATCTCAGGTTAGAAGAACAATAGATCCATGATGTAGCAGTTGATTGGGTGAAGATGTTTAGCATTACCTATAATTAAGTTTAGCATAAACTGCCATAAACAGCAAAATACTGATTCTCACCAAAAACATTGTAATCTTCTCTTTATCTAACATTCTACCCATGACTGTTTTTAATCTAATTAGTTTATAAAAGAGGTTATTAGTAATGTAATCGTCAGAGGAATGTGCTTTTGACAAAATCTAACTTGATCTCGCAGAGTTTCTCGTACACTTTGTTATTGTTTTTCTAAAAAAAAATTTTCATTTTTTAGGAAGTTTATTTTTCGTTTAAACAACAAATGTAAAAATGTTATTAAAAAACGGATTATTGTCGAATATTACTTTATTATTAAAAATAGTTACAAACAACATTTTCCATATATAACCCACTACTAGTGTCTGGTATGTTTATTCTATGCACAAAAATACTGTATCTTTCTTGTTAAGATTATATATTATGGTATCTTTTAGATTTTAAAACAACATCATCTTCGAATAGTTCGGTAACTAAATGGATACCGTAAAAGAAGAGCAATTCGATATTGTTGAGCAAAAACCAAAGATCGAGGCATTAGTCCCCACAGATATCTCGAATTCAAAGAAACGCTCCCTATCAGGCGATAATGACAATTACAATATAAAACGTTCGAAACTACATAATATAATACAACAACTTCGTAATGAAGAGGCAAATTTACTAATACTAAAACGTTTACGATCATGTCAGGTAGCATCTGTAAAGACTAATGGTTTTTATCAACATAATTCATCAACAACAAATAATAATACAGCCACAAGAATACCTCAGTCGTCAGCAGTCGTAGCAAGTAAAAATCCTCATCCATTACCATTGTTCACAGATGTAAATCAATCTCGTTCACCCACTTTGAACAATACAAATCATCAAGCGCAATCATTTCGTAAACAACAGCCACCACCACCAGTACCACCAACATCTACTTTGTCAGTGATGAATAACAAGCCACAATTAAGTAGTCGACAACAAGCATCATTACCAACTACTAAAAACCAATTAGTAAATAATTATCAACAACAACTAACTACGAATAGTAACA